AGGCCTAAGCCTACACTAATGAATATATTTCTTGTTTTCTATTTCAGTTGATGTGTCTGAGGCAGGTGAGGGGGACTTGAGTGTGGAGGTCAGCAATGGAAGGCGTAACCTACCCATACAAACAATCTCGAATGGTAACGGTTATACAATACGCATACTTGCCAAAAGTGTCGGCGTCTACAATGTGTACATCAATTGGAATGGAAAATTTATTTCAGGTGAAATACATTTTAATTAAATCGTGTTAAAAATGATTAAAAAAAAGAATTGTTTATAACCGGGGACTATTCCGTGGTTGCTTTACCATTCTACGATTCGAATTCAGGGGCGGCGCTAGCGGACGGGGGTCCAGGGGGTGAAGGACCCCCCCTGTCGGGGAATTTTCAGCAAGGTCTTAGGGGAAAATGAAATATCGAATGCCGAAAATACAATTTAGGCATGCTTTGCTAAGCTGTCAAATTTTAGCGATTAAAAACTGTTTAGTGCGAGCAGTGCTACCGCATGTGCAAGGTGTTGTATAAGCTGCGGTAGCGCCAGATCTTCGCCGAGGGGTGCTGTTACCTCCGACAGGTGGTTAGTACCCCCGACAGGGGCCTCTTAACTTGCATGCTTTGGTTTTTTAAAATGAAATTATCTTTTTGAAATAAAAAAAACCCTTAATCAACACAATGCTATGCTTTAACGATGGTGGGGGGGGGGTGGACCACTTGTCGGGGAGCTTGGACCCCCTTCTCGGGGAGGTGGGCCCTTCGTCGGGGAATTCCTGGCGCCGCCCCTGTTCCAATTTTGTTTTGTAGATTTACTTCCTTGCGTTGCTTCGATTGTTATCGGAACGACGTGATTCCCTGAAGAAAGCAACGTGACCAGGCGCGCGCAACCGATCGTTTTTAATGACGACCCACGTTCGTTGCGCCGTCAAGCCCTCTCCCCCAGAGAGCGAAGATAAATTCACAGTGTGTCCCGGTTTTACCATTGCTCAGTCGACTCAACTGGGGTAATACAGAATTTGAACCCAGAACCATAAAATTGGAAGGCAATATCTTAACTCAGCTAATCCACAAGTATTACCGTATGTTACACTGAAGAAAACCAAGCAGGTGATAGCCAGTTATACACTTGATAAAAGGGAAATGCGCGTTATGAAGTCCATCACAGTATATTATTATTCATGACAGACCGGATGTCTGCGTGGGAATTGTTTATGATTTGGTTTTCTGTAACACTACTAATTTTTTTTTTTTCAAAACATATTTTTTTTACGTCATCGTTTCTGCATTTCCAGACAATCCGTTGAAACTTATTGTTCATGATCGCGGGAAGGTGTACGTGTATGGTGACGGTATTGATAAGGCTCTTGTTGGTCATCCGGCAAGTTTCATCGTCGATTCAAGAGCGTATGGTGACGGCGTCCTGAAGGCAAAAGTGAAAGGTATCAATACCATTTACTAAATACTGTATGACGTGTATTTTTGCTGATTAATATTGTAAATGATTTCTAAGAGTAAGAACAATGCTTTACCGGCTTCTTTTTGTTCTTTATTTTCATCAAAAAGGTCCAACTTCTCGAGCAAAAACCAGCAAAGCGGAAAATCCAGACGGTACGCATACCGTTATGTACGTGCCATTAGAAGCCGGTTTGCATACTATTAGTGTGTTCTTATCAGAGAAGGAAATACCAGGTAAAAATGTATGGATTGATTAATTGTAAAGTTAATGAATCTGGTAATTTAGCCTAAAATGTGCAACAAAAAAAATCACACTCTTAATTATATCTTAAATTTTCTGTTGTTAGTTGAAAGATAATTATTCTTACTTCGAAAATGTTTTATTGGAATATTGACTTATTAATAGATAAAGAATTTATCTAAATTTAAATTTGTTTTCTTCACAAAAATAACATGTTTAGGAAGCCCATTTGTCGCAGAAGTCAAGGAAAAGAAGGTAAAACAGCCAAGCGCCGTTTTCGCAGTTTCAACACGCAATTACGAACCTCCGCACGCATCCAATTCTGTTGTCAGTACAAGGGTTAACCACAACGTCCATGGTAAGCTAATGAATGCAAACAATATTCAATTATTTTATCATCAGCACCGTCACCACCACCACCATCATCATCATCATCATCATCTTCTTCACCACCATCAACACCATTATCATTATCATCTTCATCACTATTATCATTATCATCAAGAACATCAGCGTCACCAACACCTTTACCAACACCACCACTATCATCATCACCATTATCAATCATCATCGTCGTCACCATCACTATCGACATGTTAATCATCACCATAATTGCAATTATTATCATCATTTTATTATTATTATTATTAATATTATTCAATTAGGCCTATTAGCTTTCGGTACACCATTTACAAATCTTAATTGATCGTATTTGTAGCGTATGTCACTTGATGTAATAAAAACTTAATTACTTACTATGCCATTCCGCCATGCAAACTTTCAAGACATTATTATTGTTGTTATTAACATACTCAGCACAAACAAAATTATTTATTTATAGCAATTTCTGATGAGAATGCAATTCTAGTATTTGGTGACGGCCTGACATCCGTGTTGGAGGGTCAAATAGCTGGCTTTGTTATCGATCCGAGGAACGCATCCGCTGGTGGCGACCTCACTATTCAGATTACAGGTTACACGAGAATATTATTTTCTGTTATTCCTATATTTTGATCATGAGTTAATACCATTACTATAATCTGATCTTGATTTTATCTCGATATTATCAAAACTTAACCCCATAACCATCTTATCAGGGGTAAACCTTCACGCTCACCTCGTGATGATGAGATAATCTATCACTTGTACTTGGCGCCTGTGAGCATTAGGCCTAGTTAATCCTATACTCGTTTTTGATCTTGAGTTACATGATCATATTGTGATAATGAGGTATCTTGTGTTTGTGTGGTTAAGTCTATGCTCATTTTCTGAATCCAATGGTCAAATAATATAATCACCATTTCATTATATATTCGAATCTTTATTTGTTTGTATTCATCAGGGCCAAACAGTTTCGCAAAATGCAACGTACAGCAGAACCAGGACGGAACTTTGACCGCCACCTACGTCCCTGGTGAAGTTGGACCGTTCACCATCGATATCTCTTGGTCGGGTAAACGCATCAAAGGTAAATTAACGCTTTTCATTGGTATCGGCTGTCTTATGGCCATTTAGTCTTATTAATGGTTGGTTTAAATAAAAATAAAAAAATCTTCATTTTTAAAAGCTCTTTGTTTTCCATCTACTGCCTTCTCTTATTTCTTTAATTTGTTTACGTTTTTCTCTCTCCTGTTTTATCCATGTTCTCTGCTTTCTGCTGCCTCTCTTTTAGGCTGACTGGCCATTTTACATAATCTTTCTTGATCTGTGCATTCTTCGTTTTTCATTGTTCATAAATTTATTATATCAATTATTTGCGTTTATGTTTAGTTAAACTTTAAACATTAAAAGAAATAATACTTTTATTATTAAGTTTATTATAAATTTTAACGTATATCAATTAGTCAGTTAATTGTGTATTTTAGGCAGTCCATTTCTGGCCGAGGCTTCTAATCCGTCGAAAATTTCCCTCTGTGGAAAACAACAAAACAATGGAAACATCCGATTTGAAGTCGGGAGACCTAACGTCATCGAATTCGACACTTCAGGAGCAGGCAAAGGTAGGTATAGCTTACTGACGTGTTGGGTTAATCATGGCATGATATATTAGAATTTCTAAAGGTGATGTTTTGCCGAATTCGTAGGTGGTTTAGATTTAATCTTAATTAGCCATAAAAGTCAGAGTGATTGTTTGGTCTTGTAAAGGTTTGAGGGGTTCGATAAAAACACCAACGTGGAGCGGCGTGGTGCCTACATCTAATTATAGATGTATACCGGTAATCAAATAATAAAAAAGAACATGCACTCATTATAATTATACTGTCTATTTATTTTGGTTATAGGTGTATTAACTTCTTTCATTGATGGTCCTGTCGGACAGCACATGAATGTGATGATCGAGAGAGGTCTGAGATCATCCATCATAACCTACAATCCACCTGTCGAAGGAGAATACAAACTACATATTTTATGGTCTGGAAACCCCATCCCTAACTCCCCATTTTACATCATCAGTGAAAACCGTCGTAGTCAGATCGATCTGACGCGCATTCACGTGACAAACTTGATCGCAGATATGGTTGTGAACGGCACTTATGAGTTCGTTATCGATGGCTCTGCTGTTGAGTATGGAGTACCTTCAGCTTATATGCAAGGTTTCTCAGAAAATATCCCCATACAGATAGTATCACAACATGGAAACGTGTATACAGCAACGTTCACTCCGAAACACACAGGTTTGATTTTTTTCTATATTTTATTGAAATACAATTAACAAAAAAATGGTACATAATATTTCAATGATTGCCAGTAGCAATTGGCTATACAGTATATAGGTATAAGTGGCAATCCACAATTCTGGGTCCATAACCTACAATCCACCTGTCGAAGGAGAATACAAACTACATATTTTATGGTCTGGAAACCCCATCCCTAACTCCCCATTTTACATCATCAGTGAAAACCGTCGTAGTCAGATCGATCTGACGCGCATTCACGTGACAAACTTGATCGCAAATATGGTTGTGAACGGCACTTATGAGTTCGTTATCGATGGCTCTGCTGTTGAGTATGGAGTACCTTCAGCTTATATGCAAGGTTTCTCAGAAAATATCCCCATACAGATAGTATCACAACATGGAAACGTGTATACAGCAACGTTCACTCCGAAACACACAGGTTTGATTTTTTTTTCTATATTTTATTGAAATACAATTAACAAAAAATGGTACATAATATGTCAATGATTGCCATTAGCAATTGGCTATACAGTATATATAAGTGGCAATCCACAATTCTGGGTCTGCGGAGTGGAATTGTTGGAAAAAATTAATGAGAAAAAAATTAATGAGAAAAAATTCCTTGTGTCAGGATTTGAGCCTGGTCTCAGGGGTTTGAAACCATCTTAAACAGAGCTTCACCCTCTTTAAATGTTGTATGCAGGCTATGTGTATTATTTTTTTACACGTTAACTACAGTATACGTCAATAAACAAGCGCGGATCTAGATGTTTTGATGATGATGATGATGGTGCCCGCGGTGGTGATGCTGTCTCTTATACACATCTAGATGTGTATAAGAGACAGGATATACACCTCATCTCCACCCTGGTTGGGGCTGAGGTAAGAAAAATTAAGATTATGTCGCATCTAGATGGCCGAAAATGGCACTCAGAATTTGAATATAATTTTCATTTTTTTTCTCTATTATTTAAAAATAATTTTGAAATACTTACAGGTGCCCGTCCGGCTGGGTTCCCCTTAAATCCACCACTGCATGTGGGAATCCCCTAACGCTCAGGTGACCTAAAGTTTTAAATTACACTGGTTACATTTACTTTGTTGGCAAAATAAGGTATACGGCACTGCCGCTGAAATCAAACCAAATAAAATTTAATTGTATAATTCAACATGTTTAAAATAAGTATCAAGGAAAATATGATTGTTGGAAAATGGTCGACATTTTATATTTAATTCTCACCTTGACCTTCGTCACGACGAACGGTGCGGAGGCTGGATCCGCACCTAATCCTAATAAAAATATATATGATAAAAAATTACAAAAAGAATTTAGCCTTAAAATTTCCAAATTCAATTCATTTTTGTTAAAGTAGTAGGCCTGTGTAACAAAGTGTTAATTTTAAGGAGCCCGCTTTAATCTGTTTGCTAATTTAAAAAAAAAATGATCTTTTAACCTCTGTACTGCATCTGTACTGTATTGTAATGCGTGTAACATCAGACACTAAACATGCTCTGGGAACATATACTGTGCATTTAATGACGTAACCGCATGGGGTTTCATCTAAAAAAAAGTGGTAAGTCATTGACAGACCAAATACCTTAGCATCACACAGGCTTTAATGCTTAAGAATCCACTCGAATCATCATATGGCAGGCATCACAGTGTATCTGTTATTTATGTGTTTCCTAGGTGCGTACCTTCTGCATATCAAGTGGTCTGGTCATGAAATCCCTGGATCACCATTCTCCATCAACGTGAATGAGATGAAAACTCAATTCGTTGAAGATGCAACAATAAACGGTTTCCAGAGGTCTATGGGAACTAAGCTACCAAATACTCTGCGCACTGGAAAGGCGTATTCTTTAACAATTGACGCAAATGAAGTGGGCGGAGCTAAAGTTGGTACGTATCAGAATTATATAATAATATCCAAATTAAAATGTTGGTATTTATATCAACAGATGAAAGTGCAAATGAAGTGACCCTCAGGATAGGAGAAAATTATTGAAAAGTGCAACATCTAGTCCACTGCGCCACGAGCAACGATTGTTGGAATATAAATGGAACGATTTGAAATGAAAATTAAACTTAGCTTGCTATGCAATTTAATTATCAACTATACAGTAATTATTTTATTAATTAATATGCATTATACCTCGTATAGAATTATAAAATATATATGTTTGGAAGACTGCATACTGTTGCACATTATTTTATATTTCAAATTTCATCAGTATAGAAACACACTATAAATTGTGTTTTAGGTGAAATGGCGGTTACCTGTGATGGACCAACATCGTCTGTACCTGTTCAATTACGAGATAACTTCAATAACACCTTTGATATTATGTTGACCCCGTCAGAAATTGGAAGCCATTTGTTGAATATCAAGGTCAATGGAACAAATATTGAAGGTATCATTATCGATTCTTCGAATCAATAATTCAATAAATAAATAAATAGGTCGATCAACGGATCAACAGATCAATAGATCAATCTATCAATCGATTATTTGATCAATAGATCAGTCAATAGATCTATTAAGCGATCAATTAATCTGCCGAACAATTGATGAACAAATAAATCGATCAATTTATCAATCGATTATTTGATCAATGGATCAGTCAATAGATCTATTAAACAATCAACTGATCAATCAATCTGCCGAACAATCGATGAACAAAAATCGATCAATCTATCAATCGATTATTTGATCAATGGATCAGTCAATAGATCTATTAAGCGATCAACCGATCAATCAATCTGCCGAAAATTCGATGAACAAATAAATCGATTCTGTCCAGGTTCACTGCTTTTCACATTACAATTTTTACAAATCTCAAGTACTGTCTTGCCGTATTTTAAGAGCAGTTTTAAATATATTTTAATTCATGTTTTAAACATATTTTATTCATGTTTTGGACATATTTTAATTTATTTGTTATATACTACATTATATTACGTCTCTGTCCGGGCTATTCTTATTATTTTACGATATTTACTAATTTTAAGTACTGGTTTTACTGTATTGGCCTATTGTATTGTTTGTATAGATATTTTTAAACATTTCTTAATGTTAAAATTTACTTACAATGTGCAATTTATGTAAGGTTATGCCCTGTTGTTTTTCTTTTGTCATTAAACTTTAACGATGTTAATGTATTTGAATAAACAAAAAATAATTACTAATGGATTCATAACAACCTCTATGAGGTTCAAATGAGCTACAAATTTCATCAAGTATTTTAACATGTATTTCAACTACTTTTTTGTTTTCTTTATGATGAAATGAATAAAGATTGAATTGAATTGAATTAGATTGAATTGAATTGAATTAATCAATTCATCGATCAATAAATCAATCAATCATTGACCAATTCTGCAATTATATGATTCGCAGGAAGTCCATTTTCGTTTGACGTCAGTGGTGCACATCAAGTGAGCTGCTATGGTCAAGGATTGGTCGGAGGACCCCTAGCCACATACGACAGCTCATTCCAATGCGATACAAGGACGGCAGGGGCTGGTCAGCTCAAAATACGAGCACATGGTCCAAAAGGTAACAACCGTATTAATTAATTTACCATCGTTTTTTACATCTTTTGGAAAACGTAAAATTAGATTGATTACAGACATTTGCCGTAATCGAAGCTGTTTCAGTGTTTCAGGACTAGGCATAAATATGACTACCCTAATATATTTTGAAAATATAATTTCCTTGAACTTTACACTTTTAATTTTACATAATTTTCTTATTTTGTTAGGCGCGTTTAACGTGGAGATTTTGCCGACTTTAAAGAATCGCCGAATGTTAAACGTGAAATTTCACCCATCTACGAAAGGCGTGTACACATTGAATGTACAATGGAATGATGAACATGTTCCCGGTAGCCCATTCAAGATCAAACTGACGTAATAAACATACCTATTATCATCCAGGAACAGACAAATTGTGTGTAGGCTGAATCACCATAAGATTAGATATTTTGTATATAGGAAATAGGCCAGGGATAATTTCGGCTTATTTATTCATCTACAGTATCTATATTATGTAACAATATGTTTTTATAGGCTTGTGGTTCAACTTCTAGTTGGCACAATTATTTGTATTTTATATGCTTAACTTGATTCATTTAAAATGCTTTTCATATTGTTATAAATTGATTATGCCTAGTTATTACATTCGTTGAGGGTCGCGAGGTGATGATTGTGGTTTTGTTGTTGTTTTGATGATGATGATGATGGTGCCCGCGGTGGTGATGATCCGTGGCGGATCCAGGAATTTAGAAAGTGGGGGACGTAATAGGGAGGGACTTTTACAGTTTCACACGTGGTTGGGTGGCTGTCTCTTATACACATCTAGATGTGTGGGGTGGGGGTGGGGGGAGTCGGGGCTGATCCCTTTCCCATTCAATCTGGCTATGATTACAATGTTGATGGTGGTAGCCACTGTGTGTGCGCTGAACCGTGGAGATCTCTAGGTCCCCGGTTCAATTCCCATCGCTGCCTCTCCTTGTGTTTCAGCCAGAGGGCTGAAATACAGGTTACATAGCGCACCGTCTTTCGGATGAGACGTTTAAGCCGTTGGTCCCGTGTGCATTTATGGCCCATATGTGCATGTTAAAGAACACAGTACACTCTTCGGAAAAGAGTAGGGGATTGTCTCCCGTGTGCTGTCCAATCACCACCAGAAGGACAACACTGGAAATAAGTCTTCTTCTAGACTTTCGTGGGCTATCCTTGGTGTTTACACCGAATAAATCCAATCCAATCCAATCAAATCGAATGATAATGATGATGAGGAAGAAGATGGTGATGATAGTGATCCTCTACATGCCTAATGAGAATAAAATACTAATACCAATTTTAATCAAAGGTTCCAACTTTATTATATTTTATATCATTGTTAGATCATGGAGGAATTAAATTTTGTTTTGAATTCGTGTACATTTTATAAAATCATTATTGCCATTAAACACATTTTTTATGTATCATCTATGAAATAAAATCTCAAATGCTATGTAGAGCCCACAGTTTCAATCATTATGGTTCAATTTCATCACAATAAAATTCCCACAGAATCACTTGTCTCATTAGGGGCAGATTCGTCTATTGCGCAAGGGAGAAAGGAAATGCGACGCTTGTCGGTACTCACATTCACAACTGTTTCGACCAGTGTAAATGAAGAATTACATTTTAATTCAATTATAAGCAAAATAAAAAGCTTATTCTGTAACCCATACTGAATTTAAATATATAAAAAACAAAGCATATACAATCGAAGTTTTGCAATCATGCAAACGCAACCATTTCTGTATCTCTGCTGTAGACAAACCACTAAGAGGATCCCCTTTACAGGGGCGAGGAGACGGCATCAGAACCGCTAGCCAACTATGAATTTGAAGAGCTTATATTATTTCCAAACGCATACCGAATTTTACATTCTCTGAATAGGCCTAACGCTATTAATTCAGTAACTTGAAGTAGCTTTATTCTTACTTTAAACTTAAAATCCGTAACGAACTTTCAAAGAAATTTCTATACTCATATCTCTTTCCCCATCCTCACACCATGACATTTCTGAACAGTGTAAGCCCCTATCCTTACTACGATTTCCTAATATGATTTGCAATAGATTGCGGTATTGATTAACGAGTACCGTAATATAATAAATTAGTGAGAAGTGACTCAAGTGTGGTTAGGTCTTTACGTCCATGATTGGCTAAATTATGTTTACATGTTTTAGAAAGGATAATAAATAGAACAGGAATTCCTTACTCAGATTATTAGTACAGTACTTCGCTTGATATTTTCTTGGTAGCCTACTCGATCTGATGTTCCTCGGCCTGGAACTAAATGTCAAGGTGTAAGCAAGATGGACATTGGTGTGGACGCTGTTTCTGGAAAAATCTGCAAAACAAACGTAAATTTTTTTAAAGTTTTATCTGGTTGTGGGATACTCTTTAGTTTACTAAATATTTCTGGTCACTTAACTTCTGCTGTTTTTGTCTTGACTATGTGTGCAATGTTGCGTTAAAGAATATATTGAATTGATGTAATATTATACTCTTTCGCCTTACACTTACATAAATTTAACAAATGTGGTAGTTTTTGAGTCACCAATCTGATATCTTAATACAAAATGTGTACTTGTGTCTTTTATTCACTGTTGTTACCATCTGAAATCTATTTCCTGATCTAGTTAAAAATAATAGTAAGTTGAGACATTTTGTATTTTATTACAGTAGTGTACTGTATTGTATATTTCTACTTGATCAATATGGAATATTAGGCAATGTTTTATCTGTTTTTATATTTATACTGTTTTTATCATTTTACGTATAGGCCTTAAGGCCAACTCAGACAGCGTCGTACGACGCAGCCCGACCCGATTTGTTGTCGCGTCGGGTCTGAGCGAGTTAAAAGCTGACGCGATGGTGTGCGTCGGGGGCAGTCGCGTCGTAGAATATTAAACATGTTTAATATTTCTCACGACGGCTTAAGACTGTCCCCGACGATAAATCGGGTCGGGCTGCGTCGGCCGACGCTGTCTGAGTTGGCCTTTACTTATTTTATATCGTATCCTTTGTATAATAGACCTATTTTGCATGTCACTGTTCTATTATGAACTTTGGAAAACAAATTTCATTTACTTTGTATACGAAAATAAATTGAACTTGAACCATTATAGTATCTAATCTGATATCTTTTTATACAATAAATGTATTTATTTTTTACAGCTTCCAGAGCTTAAATAAAACATACCGAGAGAAACACAATTAATTAAAAACGAATAATGCACACCCTGTTCATTTGAAATGTTTACGTGGACCACTTTCGAAACCTTTCAATCGAAGCTCGATCCCGCCCACTTTTCTTTCGTCAGGGAAATTTTACCCCTCGCCGGGGGAATAGCCCCCCCCCCGTCGGGGACCCTTCTCCTTCAGCGTAAATGAGACGAAAACGCAAGTCGTTGAAGAAACAACAATAAACGGTTTTCAGAGGTCCATGGGAACTAAGCTACCAAGTTCAGTACTCTGGAAGGATTATAAATTAAAATGTTGATATTTATATTACATGATCATTAAATTCAGCTTGCTATGCAATTGAAATTATCAAACTAAACTGTATTAATTTATTAATTGTAATGCACTAAACCTTGTATTAAATTATGTAATATATAATAATATTAATATTATTATTATTATTATTATTATTTATTCAGGCAAAAGATACAATATACAAAATACAATACAAATCAGAAAAAAATCAAACGAACATAACATTAACAAGTACCGTACATTATATATACCAGTCAGCTGCCAGAAAAGCACAACAGCAGCCTGCCACTGTCACTAAATAGGCGTGTACCTCCAACTAGTGACTGATGATAATACAAAAATGGTGACATAGATAAACACAGTGACTAAAGCATTGTATTATTATATTAAGCCTAAGATTTATTCATAAATATTAAATTAGTTTTACAAAATTTACTTTAGAAATAAATAAATTATATATATATATATATAATATAATATAGGCCTATATGGAGTTAAATACATTATTGAGCTTCACATTTTTAAAATGTATATTAAATCAATATACACAATTAAATTAGAAATAATGTTTAATGATTTATTCATAAATATTAAATTAGTTTTACAAAATTTACTTTAGAAATAAATAAATTATATATATATATATATATAATATAATATAGGCCTATATGGGTGTTAAATACATTATTGAGCTTCACATTTTTAAAATGTATATTAAATCAATATACACAATTAAATTAGAAATAATGTTAATAATTTATATATCAATAACAAATTATATATCATAAGCAAAATGATAAATAAAATTATTTAATTTTCCATTTGATACTCGATGTACATTACCAATTCAATTGGTTTGACATTTAATCAGCGTGTAAATAATGTTCTCTTAGTTTACTTTTAAAAGTATTTTATTCTTAAATCTGTGGGTAATGCATCCCAGAGTCTACAAAATCGGACAGGTGAACAATATAATGCACTAGCAGTCCGAGCTTTGAGTATCTGATGTCGGTGATTAATTCTAATCAATTCATGCAAGTATTCATTGTTCATGTTTAATGCTTCACATACAAACAGGATGCTAAATCTCCGAGCGGGTTTAAAGCCCCATTCCTGGCAAAATTTCACTAAAAAAAGATTTTTTTATAGAAAAAAAAAATGCATAGGCTATGCATTATTCTATTTATTATAAACAATGGAAAAATATTGGCATACATTTTAGTTTTTCGCAAAAGAATTAAAAAAAAAATACAGACTATTTCTCATAGGAGATTACCATTTTCTCGGCAAATTCTTCGTTACTAGGCAAATTCAGAGGTTGTAGATCGCATCCGCTGGAATGCTCTCACTTCTATGTACACTCAGGTATACTTTATACAGCAAAGCACCTTGGTCAATTCGAAAAATTCCCCGTGATATATTGTTCGTTGAATACGATTTGTGATAAAATATTCAAGCCAGCTCAAGAGAGGTCCATGTATTCCGTAGCTTTTTTCAAGTTTCTTTATGAGAATTTGATGAGAGATGGAGTTAAAGTCTCTAGGCCTACTATAGTCCAAAGATATCAGGTCAATTTTAGAGGATGGTTTGTCAAACGCTATGGCCCATTTGGAAGTAGCTTCCGCTAAAAGAGTTTCACATGATCTCTGTTAGCAAAAACCATGGTCATTTAGATGAGTGGTAATGCGCTCTACAATTATATTTTCCCTTGACATAGGCCTAATATTGACTCTTGACACTAAATTTTTAAGTAACCACGGATCACACAGAGCTTTTACTAGTCTTGTAAAAGCAAGTGTAAGCTACAGAAATAATAAAACATTGGAAAATATACATTAAATTATTATAATGTATACTTAGGCCGAATTATTATGCATTAGCTTAGCTAGAGTTGACTGGGTAAGTCAAGGTCCAATTGCATAAGTTAATTATTAAAAAAAATGTAATCATAGATATCCCTAAATTTAGATTGACAAATATTTTTAATCGATTAGCCAGAAAACTCAGATAAATGGGGTTATCTGAATGTTCTCGGTGTTTGCATCAGTTTCAGTAGCTCTTGTGTAAGGAAAATAGCATTCATTTAGTCACCTTATTTCAGTACCGGTACTTCGCTTGAAATTGACCAATTAAATTATTATAATGTATCCTTAGGCCGAATTATTATGCATTACCATAGCTTAGCTAGAGTTGACTGGGTAAGTCAAGGTCCGATTGCAAAAGTTAATTATTAAAAAAATGTAATCATAGATATCCCTAAATTCAGATTGCAGGGCTTGAAATTAACTTTTTTCTTGGTAGCACTGCCAAAATTTTCTGGCACCCCCCCCCCAAAAAAATTTGGTAGCACAAGTAATTTTTTTAGTAGCACATATTTCCCCATCCTTTTCGCATCCCCTAAGATAATTTTATTCTTTATATTTCCTAACAAACCCCCACCCACCCACACCTACACTGTCCCCATGGATTATTATGCAAGAAAGAAGACATGAAAGAAAAAGAGAAGAGATTTTAAAAATCGAAAAAAAAACCAAGAAAAATAATAAATAAGAAATAACAAAAGAAAGGAAAGAATAAAAAAGAAAGAAGTAAAATGGTGGAAAGAAAATGACAATGAAAAATACTAAAAGAAAGGTAAGTATCAAAAATGAAATAAGAAAAAGGATGAAACAATATTAAAAAGAAAATAGATATTAAAGGGATAGTAAAGAAAAAAGGTGAAAGGTAAAAAATTCAACCTAACTGGAAGGAAAGGGAAAGTATATCATGGAAAGTTTCAATTGTTTGGAATATTTCTAAGAAAATTACAAATTTCTGTTAATTATTAACAGATATACACAATATAAAAAAAGGAAAAACATGAGCAGTAATAATGTGCTAGCTAAACTGTCTAGTCAATGGACTGCCAAAATCTGCAGTTATTTAAGAGGATTGATATATTGATTATAAAATTATTAATTATTATTACTGAAACAATTAATTATATTTTCTGTACACTTTCTTTAAATTTTTCAGTATTTTTCTTCATTTGTGCAGGAAATTTCGAGAAAATAGGTCCGCAGAATCGCATTAACACTGCGAATGCCTATACATTGGTTACAATAGCCACCGGCCGACTTTACTGCAACATTTGCGCGGAAATTGGCAGACTTATTTTTAATATGCGTGGGTGGAATTTTTTCTTTATGAGATAACTCTAAATCAATTTACACATAATAATTTCAACCTAAACACGGTTCCAGAG